ATGTTGCTGCCATCATCGAATGACATCAGCATCATGGGTGCTGGCCTTGTGGCGTCTGTCCATGTTCGGCAATGACCCGTCCGTCCTCAGTCTATTTGCAGCGGTTACCCTGATGCCATCTGTCTAGGTGGGGGTATGAGCTTATGTGATAATGTGAGGCAGAGAGACCCTTGTGTCGTCAGTCAATGTGCAGTGTAACGGATATGTTATGTGTAACAAGGATTCTCATAATATCATATGTTAGTCAATGGTCTGTAGGCTGTCAGTGCAATTTATTATCCCTGGCATCAGCTGCTTTTTGTTCAGCTGCAGTACTACTTGGTACTGAATGCCCTATACACTCCGGCCAGCCTTAGCCTTTGCAATTTGTACACTGATAGCATAAAAAGGACATTTGCCAACTGATGGGATTTGTTTGAAATCACTGCTCAAATCAATCAGGCAGGTCTCATCAAATGTATTAGCAGCACTGAAGACTTCATACATTCAACCACTACATTGCAAAAAAAACTACATGGCTATTTTTTTTATATACTAGTTTGCCCAAACTTGCCCAAACCAAGAGGGGTTTGAATACTAATAGCCGTGGCAAACTAGTAAATCAAGTATTTTTTTGCCACGGCTATTAGTATTCAAACCCCTCTTGGTCAGGGATTAGCTGTAGCTTTCAGCTCTTGATCAGTGACACAGTACAGGACAAATGTGATCCAATCATCTCAATCATGAATCCTTTCCATAAAGATAACTCTGAGCTGAATCGAGTAGGTCTCTTTAACCTGCAACCACAACAATTGAAAATCAACCGACAACCATGATAAGAACTCGCGGTTGTTGTGGCAGTATTTAACTCGTGATCCTATGAGGACGGATCCTACTGAGAGCACAAGCTGATGGAGCCACGGATGGTGTGGGGGTTTTTCAGCCACTCGTCCCACTGCCCAGAACCCAGGGGTCCTTGGGGGAAGGTGTGGATTGTTTTAACCCCACTCTGAGCCGATGCTGGCGACTAGGGTCTAACCGATGACGCACCTTGAGTATAATGCTCCTTCCACTTAACACAGCAGATTGTGATGGGCGCACAGATATAACGGTTCGAGCTGCAGATGGAAAATGCAGCACAGAAGAGAAGTGAGGGTATGCTCGACTTGTAAAACAGGAACGGGGCGAGCAGAGGCGTATGACATGACCAAGCGAAACCAGCGCGTCAACAGGGAATGACGCCTCGCATTAGAAGCCACGTCAGCACGAAGCTGATTAGTGTCTGGATCACAGCAGCGAAGCTCTCTCACAGGGTAAACCCGTCCGAGCCATGATAGAAATCTGCGTCCAGAAAGAGTTTGCTTGAACAGCAAAACAAAGTCATCAGCACTCGAACAGCTAGGGGTTTACCTTTAAGCTTGGCACCAGCGCAGAATCGAACTCGGAGGAACTCGCCCAAAAACTCGCTCAGCAGGGTAAAGTTGGTCGGGCACCCTGTGGACAAAACGGTAGTCGGTCACACACAAGGTACAGCTACCCCACGGAGGCGAGTGTAGAGGTGCGATGCCGCCATGCACGAGTCGTTAACGACTTCCCAGCACATCTGATCACAAACCGCCGGAAGGGAGGGCAAGCGGGACAGAAACAGTTCGGTCGAATCATGGAGATGTGCCAGCAGGAGACGTACGGAATGGAACGATCCCCGTTAGAGATGTACCAGAAGGAGACTAATCGAACGGTTGCAGCAACGGCAAGGGTTCATCAAGCCCCCCACTGGGTAGGTATACTCGGCACTTGGGACAATCTCACTCCACGAGACACGGAGAGGTTGTACGGAGAATTTCGCCGAGATGGTGAGATGCGAGGGAAAAGAGGATGGTGGAGTAGGTGAAAAAGAGCGGAAGAGGAGATGTGGTAGGCATGCAAGCGAGAAGCATAAACTAATAGCAAGCAGTAAGGAGTCACGTCACGGTAGATGGGGGTCAGAAAGAACGCAGCAATTTTATCTGGTCATTGCGGGGCATGGCGAGCCATCCACACTCCGATTTGCAAAACTCAATACTATTCGTCACTTCCCCATAAAAATACCGATACATATGCCGTACACAGTGAGCACGATGTTGAATGGAGACCCTCGAAGTCCATCGCACGTGGCGAGTCCAGAGAGAGACTATACCTCAGCCGTGCGCGAATTGTCACGAAAGGAGACAGGCGGCCGAAACAAGCTTCTTCGCGAAGTGTCAGCTTAGGATGGGCGAGGTAGGATGAGTCAAAACTGTTGTCGCCGTTCACCAGACCGACGCAGTCCTGTCAGATCCATCTGTAAAACAACGAAGAAACAGAGAAAACATCAGGTATGTTTAGAAAGGAAATGTTGCGAAGCGATTGAGGCTTTGGCGCACGGAAGTGGCTCTCCTCGTCTTCGACCGTGAGGGAGACAGAGGAGGTGCCACGCGCCCGCCTCACCCAGCCGTGCGGCTGCTCTACTTGGTGCGAGTCAGGCAGACCAGGGTTAGAGATACCTGACGACTGCCTTAAATAGAAAACAGTCACCAAGAGTTCTGGAGGATAGCCGAACATGACAATACAAAATATAATAAAAAAAAAAACAGGTCGGATGAGGGGGATGGACGGAGAGTCAGCAGAGGACAACAGAGCTACACAGCCGTCACCGCCACCCAGTTGTCACTGGGGTCTCTGTTGCAAGTCTCTGGAATCATCATCCTCAACCGCGCTTAAAAGTACTTAGCTCAACATAAAAAAACACGGTGCGGCAAAAAGTTGCGGAAAATAAACACACCAGCTAAACACGCGCATTGGAGACGATGATGGAAGGAGAGTCAGTAAGAAGGCAACAGAATTACAATCGTCAATGCCACCCAATTGGGTGGCTCGGTTGCGCATCTCTGTATTCGTCATTCCCTCGCGTACTATCAAGAAACAAAAAGGCGCAGGAAAAAGAGCTACGGGGAAAAGGGATACGGCCGGCTCTCTTCAGTTCAGGTCTCCAATATGCTTCTTCAGTGCCCGGTTTCGGACAATCTCAGAAGAACGAAAGTATTGTTTGATCATCCGCAGAGAGACGGGACCTGGGATACAAAAGGATGAGATCGTAAGGCCAGACGCGGAAGGCCAGACACGGAAGGGCAGACACGTAAGGCCAGACACGGCCAGACACGGAAGGCCTGACACTCATGAAATAACCACATCAGCGTCGCACAGCCATCAGGCGTCAATTCTTCTCATTCGCAGCTTGAGCCACGTCAGAAGGTGTCCTAAGGCTTTGACATATGAGATAATTTCATCATAAGGCTGCTGCCGACCGACGGCGTCAAAATAACGAAAGCATACGGCAGATCAGCGAACATGACGAAGACACGCCCAAAAACAATGGTTTTAAAAAGACATGTCAGGCTGGTGGTTGGGGTCAGTACGAGATCGCCATCTTATTTTCCGTTTCACTGCAACGATCGCTGCATCTCAAATCAAGTGTTGGATTTTGATGGCTCCTCACTCCCCAACTTAAACAGCCGGAACTATGAGACCAATGAAATTAAACAGAAAGATACAACGTGACTGATAACGCAAGCACGTGGAGCTGACATGCGGACAACCGCAGATAAGAGAAGGTTTCTTTTAAGAAGTCACAGGCCCAACTATCAGAATGGTGGTTGGGGTCAGTACGATAACGCGGAAATATTTGACGTTTCACTGCAGCGTCGCTGCACCTCAATCTAAATGCTCCTCACTCCCCAACTCAGACAGCCGGTCAGATTAGTCCAATAATAATAATCACGAATGAAGAGACAACGTGAAGCTGACAAGCGAACAAGAGAAACACCAGACGGGAGAAGACAGAAGCTTTGCTTCAATGAGCTCGATCGGGACTCCCGCCCTGAGTTTTAAAAAATGTAGCTTACCGGTGCGACGTGGCGACACATGAGTTTGAAAATATGTAGCTTACCGGTGCGACGTGGCGACACATGCCCTGCAGTGCGATTGTGTAAGGATGGAATACTGCTGTCAGGAGCTTCCGCTCGCGCTGCTTCTCACTGCGGCTGCTGTGGCAAAAGGCTCTTGCTCTCAGTGCTAAAACTGAACTAAATGGGCATGGTAGGGAGAGCGAGAGCGGGAGGTTGATGATGATCTGCAGGAAGTGGTGGTAAGCACACCTTCGCGCCATGAATTTCTCGAATAATACCAATATCCGAACACTGTTTTATGAGTTGCATAGCTACCTTATGAACGGTATTTGGTTTCACAATTTGGAAATTTCATTTCAGAAGTGATTTTCAAATACCTTTTGAAGATGACCATTGTTTTCAACGTGTTTAAAAAATGCTGTAAATATTCGACAAAGGTCACCCTTTAATAATATATCCTTAATTGTGAAACCATGTTGAATCCATGGATTTACATGTGAGACTTAAACTAAGTAGCTACGAATGGGAGTAACGTGAATAGTGTCAGTAAAAAGAAGTTTTCATTAAGATAAATATACAGTATAAGATATAGAGTAGGGAAAGTTGCAAATGTGGGTACACCACCAACAAATAGAAAGCATAAGGTGATACTACACTAACAATTATGCATGTAGTTATATATAACAATGCAATTTTAACAACCCTCCCTTAACTGCATGCAGGACTAGCTAGTGAGGGGCAGTCACCTATAGGGGGGCAATCAAAGAGCAGCAGCCGGGACCACCGTGGTTAACCCCCACCACAGGTGCCCGCCTCCGATTTAACCCCCGCAGGGGGTGCCAGGAGTGCATCTAGGGGAATGAACGCGCCCAGAAACGTCGGATTGAAATGAATGGTCGAAACGAAACGAGAAACAGAGGAGGAAGAGTGAGAAGGTAGAGGAGGAGGAGCGGCTGCCTTCACATACCCACCACCCTCATACCGTCTCCCCCCTCCTCCCCAAAACGCGGCACCCCCAGCAGTTGCTGTTGCAGCGATGAGGAGGAGAATAAGGGAGGGGCGGGGGAGTTCAAGGGGGCTTCAATACCCCGCATCCTC